ACCGACGAAAACTGTCGGGGGTCGTTTGGGAACAAGTGTAAGGGGTGCACCTTTTCCCGGTAGGTTGTAATCTGACAGCCAGCGTTGGTGGATCGGAAAGCAAGCTAAGAAAAAAGTCAATGATGAATAGTTCTTACTGCTCGGAATGGACTGATCTCGAAATACAGAGAACAGATGTACGCAGGGGAGCCACATCGCCTGGAAGAAAGGGCATGTGCATCCTCCAGCACAGGTGTCGACGGTTTGGGTGCATCTAGGTGTTTGCATCACAAACTACAAGTTAGTTTACGTAGCTGGACCTCACCTTGTTTGTTCCGACACTTTCATACGGCAGCCGCGGCGGTCGCGGACACAAGCGCCTCAAAACGAGAGAACATGCAGATGCCATCATTCGACAGACTATGTTCAGAAGGTGGGCGTCACCCTCTAGGATTTGCCGCCTGTTTCATCGGTACGACGTAAGCATATCAAACTCCCGCATGAGCCACTGGGCGTGCTGGAACACCTTTTGAATGGCATGCTTCAACGTGTCAGGGTGCTGCACCCGATCTTTAAGGCGCCCGTTCGCATTCTCCAGTAGGTTGTTGGTCACATTACCGAAATGAACCATTCCGGACTGTGCGTGTATGGCCCATTTACGGGTGATGTACAACCAGCGAGCCGTGAGATAGGAGAGAAATCGGGGATCGGTTCGGCGGAGAAGTTGTAGTTCTTGTCGGAATCTGTGTGCTTGTAATATGATGAACATAAAACCAACTGTACAGCATTATCCAGGCGAACCATGCGGTGAAATATGTGCCGGCTGTTCACAGAATGTGTCTATGACCGAAAATATATGGATATTAAATCATACATACGTGCTTCCTGATGGCTTTGCGGACATGAAAGTAGCAAAGCATAATGCCACAGACGAACACGACTCTTGCTGTACGCATTAGCGCCGCCAACTTGTCCATCACAAAGGTCCTGACCGGATACGCTTCGCCCATCATTTCTTTGAATAAGCCGAACAGTTTACGCATGGGAGTAAACTGATCGCTCTCTCCGAACGCACATATGACCGGACGCCCGGTTCCCATGCCGTCCGTTATCAAGAATGTGTATATTTTATATCTAAATGCCGAATATTAGATGCTTTAAAAAACTTACCCACGGCGGTTTGTTGCACGTGTCCCGTCCACATTCACTACATCTGGAAAGCGTCGGAATAACGCTATCTGTTGCCATCGGGAGAAACATATGCGGCTATGGTGACCTTCCTCTCCCTGACACACAAGGACGCGTCCGGCCTCCCGAAGTTTTGCCAGGACCGAATGGATATCGTCTGCTACATTAAAACCCAACCATTCAGCACCTAATCAACATAGCTGGTCGACACTCCCGGCGGTAGTTGTGTATATCCTTAGTTTTAAGAATCCTTCCGGATTAATCCGCCACAAACTGCCGCACCTCACATGACGGCGTTCCATGTCTCAGCAGAGCCCGGCATGTGCCCAACTCGTCTTCGGTTAGGCGTCGATTGACTGGAAGACGTTCGTGCAGAAACTTTGACAGTTTGTGGTTGTGTTCCAGAAAATGAGAGGTAACTGCCAGTTGGTTCCTTTGCCTCCGTGGACAAAACCGCACTGGACAGCTGGTGGTTCGCGCACTTTTTTAT